CAGAAGGCATCAAAGTTTTTGATTTAATTGTAGTATACTTGTCTGAACATTACGAAATTTGTAACTTTATTAATTCCTCGATTATAAACTCCGTCTGAATCTAATATGAGTCACGATCGAGACAAAGTGAGGACTAGAACCTGATACCAAGCTGTTTATTTCGACAAAATTATCTCCTAAGAATTCCACCTTAGAGCTTTCCTAGTTTCCTCATCATGAAATTCTTCAGAACTTCGACTCATAATCACAACACACAAACTGGAGTAAAAGTTGATTCTGGACTTGTGAAGTAGCACACGCCCAAGGTAATGCTCCTTAATCCTAGTCCGAACCTCGATCAAAGCAGCCTCATGAATCAGCGTGGGGATACGGAATCCAAAGCTTATACTGCGACGGAATGCATAATTGGTTCTGCTGCTCCCGGTAGCTAAACCAGCAGTCGAGCAATTCACTCAATGAATCAACAAGCAACGGAAAATCAAACGGCAACATTTGTCCTCTCTTCCCTCTCTATAATCTCAAAACCAGTTTTCCGAAAAAGTTAGCCAACTTCCTCTCCTCAGCCTCATCCATCTTTAAACCTCAGAACTGGTGCTTCAGAGAAACCCGGACAACTCTCCTCCAAATTCCTTCCCCTTCTCGCCCGCCCCATTTTTGACAGTCTTATCGACCTCCCTTCTTCCTTTTTCAGCCCTTAATAACCCACCTTTCCGTTTCTCACCCCCTTCGCACACTGACTTTCGTCTCAGCCGAAGAAAATTCGTCCTTTTTCCTTCCCCTTCCCCTCCTCCGCCAACCCCCCGTCTGATCCATGTAAAGAACTACAACTCCCCTTTCATCTTCAGCGATGCCACGATTTCCACAAATTACTTCAAAAACGTCCTATTTCATTCCCAGTATGAAAATTTATTAGGCGTTTTGTAATGTGTAACAGCAGTACAAAGCGCATATTCTCACGGAGTTGATTCAGCCTTCCTGTAGCGGTGAGTAACACGTACGGCCCCGTAAAACTTTTGGCGGGTAAGATAATTATCTCGAGAACCACGGAAGCTGGGAAGCTGAAATTTTATGGGTATGTCCCCTGACCATGTGCGACCCAGAAAGTTCAAACTCACCCTTCCTGTACTCGCGGATAACATAAACGGCCCGATGAAACTTTTGGCCGGTAAATTATTATCTTGGGAACCACAGAAGCTAGGAAGTTGAAATTTTATGGGTAATGTCTCCTGCACACGTGCGGCCCAGAGAACTTAAACTCAACCCTCCCGTACCTGTGCGTGCGTAACACGCACAGCCTCGTAAAAGTTTTAGTGGGTAAAGTCATTATCTCGGGAACTGCGGAGGCCAGGGAGCAGAAATTTTGCGGGTATGTCCCTTGACCACGTGCAACTCAGAAAATTTAAATTCAGCTTTCCTGTACGCTTGAGTACCGCGTACGGCCTCATAAAAGTTTTGGCGGAAAATTATCTTGGGAGCCATGAAAGCTAGAAAGCTGAAATTCCAGGACGGTATTTTCTGCCGCTGTGGGTATCTCACAAACTCAAATTTAGCTCTCAAGTATGCAGAGGCCTTACGTAAAACCATGCGAGAATTGTGATGTGAAAGTCACTAGTTCGGAAGCCGAGGGTTAAAATTGAAGGGGTGTTCCCCATCTGGATTCCACGTACCGGCACGTAAAATTGTCGTGGGAAATTCCTCACCTTAGAAGCCTGACAGCATATCTATTGTTTTTCATATACAAAAGTGTAAGGCAGTTATATTTTTGCAAACAAACGTCCGCTGGACGGAACTACGCAAAACGCATGATCGCACCGTCTACCTTGGTGCGATTCGCTATTTGTTTTTTATCTTTGCTGTAGGCGTTGGAATCAGGCAGTGCTATTTATGTATATACATAAGGAAAAAGAGGGCAGTGAAGTGGAGTCTGTGCTTCCAGAGCCATAAAGACCCGAAACTATGCCCTAAATACCTGATTATCAGCTTCGAAATTCTGAACTTAAACTATTTCGACAGACAGATAAACAAAGCGCACACATGTAAACATATGCAGGTATGACCTTGCTAAACAGCGTCTTTTTCTTTTGTGTAAATTCAGTGACTTAATCATAGATTGACAATTTCTTGTGTGTATATTTCTATCCATATCTGTTCGGACCTATTCTGGTATTTCGACTGTGAAACTAAGAAAGTCGAAAAAATGAAGCTTTGGAGACACAGTGCCTCCCTGTATACAGGGTTCAGAAACATAAATTAGCTCCTGCGTATAGCGCTCGGATGCGTGAAGACGACAATGATGGAGAGCGACTCTCCATGGGATTTAAAATTGAACGATACCCGTACGAAGAATATGCATGGAATGAGAAGCTTCACAGTTGGTGAATGCAACCTCGTTTAAAAAAAAAAAAATTAACCTGAAGTTCTGGTAGCGTGGTCCCTCGTTGGAAGCGAGGTCACGTGCCGAAAATTCACATTCCTCTCCATTAGTTTATCTTAGGTCCAAATTCAGGTTAAATTTATGAATTGGGAGCCAAAGAAAACCACTGAGTAAAAATTTTTCAAAGATTAATTTGCCGAATAACTCGCGGTAAATGTGAGGTTGGTAGCAGATTTTTTGTACTACTCTTGGCATATCACATGACTAAAATCTAGGCTAATTATGCAAGTTCAAGGAAAAAACGTGGGCAACAAATTCAAAATTTCGCATTACTGTCGACAAAACGGGGCTAGCTGATCGTCAAATTAGGCTTCAAAACTATGCCCTATGTAAGTAACGGATTTCAAATTCAGCTTGGACATGCGCCTTTGTCACGTGTACATACACATCAAAGATGAGATTGCGAAATTTTTTGCAAAATTTTAACTTGGAAACAATTGATTACAGCGCCCCAACTTTAGGAGAATATTAGTTTCTTATACCGCGGCACGTGGGTGTAAAAAGAACAGCTCGTATGCCGCTTCTATTTGGCATGCTCATATGCCACGTGTTCGAACGTGTTAAGAGGTGCAGGAAGCAGTATTTTTCTGAGGATATTTACTTGTTCATCTACTGGCAGTAAAATGAGCTTGTGCTTACACATATTCCCTCTATATAGACGAATCAAATGTTTAAACTGCTATACCGCAGCCACATTCCAGCACAGGCGATCTCTCTGCAAGGAGGAATTACGCAGAAAAGCGTGACGCACCGGCAAGCCTGATAGGTACTACCTGGGCTTGTGTGGTGCAACCGGTTTTGTAGAACAGTTAGTAAAACCACTGTCGGCGCTTTTCCACACGGTTCCAGTTCGCACGGAATAAATTTATATTGTGCAAACACATATTTGAACAAACATGTGCACTTGACCAAGCAAAAATGCATTTTTGAAGCAGAATATGAGACCTACCATAATGGTCCAGTGACTACTCCGTTTAGGTTTATTAATCTAGGAATTCCAACAAGAATGTGGCGAGGCGGAAAAGAACTATTTAAATTCTGTGAATTAGGACAGGAAAAATATATGGATTAATTAAGCTCAGTATGCATTTGTATCTTAATGAGTGCAAAGGATTCCGGAATAATTGTTCGAAGAATCTTTGGCAAAAAAAGAGCAGTGGAATTACAATCCGCAAATGTGCGCCGTTGAAATGTAGGAACGAATAGGGACAGTACCGGTGAGAGCCGAAAAGAAAGGATGTGGGGCGCTTCCGTTCTGTATTCCACTCGGAATTATTAATTACAATAATCTATCTAGACGCTAGCACTACGCTGGTAGCCTTATCTGTTGTAATTCATCACCCGTTCGCTATACCCGGACCTCGAAGTTCATTTTTATTGTCACAGAGCAGACGTATTTTTTTGCACGGTGAAAAATTAATCACCTGCTTCTGCGAAAGCAATTTGACTAAGTTCTGCTTTGCTTGCTAGCATAAGAACTGTGCAGGCATTCCAGAGAAATTGCAAAATCCAAAGACAAGTTTTATGCACAAACTGTTATTTAAAAGAGGAAACCTGATTTATGAAATGATAGTTGAAGATGCATATACGGATTCAGATGATGCGACGGCTTTTTATCAGTTTTTAATTAATCAGTTCATTCAATTTCCGTCAACGAGACCTACACTGTGCTAAAATACTGTGCTCATATCCTTCCGAAACATTGAAAGGTTTTTTCAGAATGAGCCTTGCTGACAACTGATGGACGACGCCTGTCAGTGAATGATATCCGCCAGAAAATAAACAACCACTTGCACAGTCTCTAAAAAGATAGTGTACATAGCACATGCATCAAGTACTAAGGAGAGGTATGCAGTTGAGGAGGCAAGCGTCTGACACAGGTGCGCCCAGAATATGGGCACATGTTAGTAACAGCGGCTTTCTAGCAGTACTTTACGTTTATTATATTGCGTGTTTTTTTGTAGTGCTTACTACTGATTAGAAAGAATATCGCTGTATAAGATCGATCTCTTGACTTTTGTTGCTTCGAAAAAAAATCTGATTATACCACTGGTGCAGGCAAATATGGGCCGATGTGTACGGCTTTATTAACGATATAACATAAAGGAACCAAAGCAGCGCAATAAGGAGTCAACAGGGGGAATTCTCAGAGACTACTGCCATCAAGAAGTGAGATCAAACAACTGCAGGTGCAGCCATTTTTAAACAATTTTGAGAAACTGCTTCCTTTTTTTCTAATTATTGGAAATCGAAATAAATTATTAAATCAAAGCCCTCAGCCAGTCACCGATCAGTGAGAAACAAAGCCATAATCAATGATGACACTGTGCAACGAGTCGCAGGAACAGCGATATTGATATTGGAGAGCAAAGCACCCGCTTGACACATGACCAGGTCATCTGCAAATAATAGCACATCCATTCTAGTTAAAACTGATTATGTTTTAAATTCATATCAGTAGTTCTGCGGAAGCAAAAACAAACCCCCTTCCACAAATTCCCAACCTGTAGTGTGCCCCACTGCTAAAATTTTTTATATTGAAATGCTTTAAGCGTGTTTTGGAAGACTACACGAGGAAGTACCTTTTGCCGAAGCTCAGAAAATCGCGACTGAATGCATTCGCTTCTATTCGTTTTTTGTCGAGATTCATGAAATTCCGATCCAAGATCCCTGCTCTTTTCCCAAAATTCATAAAATTCCGGGCAAACGGTTCTTCTCTTTTGCCAAAATTCATGAAATTTCTCGAAAATGGTTCCTCTCTTTTGCCAAAATTCATAAATTCCCTTCTAAATCCATCCTTTTTTTGAGGAAATTCAGCACTGTTTTGTTGCCGTTCACCAATCCATTCCCATGCGCCATTCAGCGATCGTTTTCCAAAATTCAAGAAGTCTCGAGAAAACTGCAATGGAACTAATAATATGCAAAGGTTCAAAGATGACGCCCGTCAGATTTATGAATTCTCGTAAATTTCATCCTACTTTGGAAGTGCAAGTCACTCCGTTGCTTAGGTCTCGCACTGTTTACTAGTGCTTTAAGCGTATCAAAACTGTAGAGATGATTTCGCTATAAAGCCTAACAAATGCACAGTGATAAAACGAAGCTTTTTTTTCGACTTTTAATATGGACCTTTAAGATCAGACAATGATCGAGACAAGACGACAAAAATCTGCAGCTCTTTGATGAGTTGCTCCATTCAAAAATACATCAGTGGCCACAACTGAGCCTTACATCATAATTTAGGAGACGGGAAAGATATAATCAATAAAACCTTTTTATTGTTAAGCTACCCACCCTCAGCGTCGTGGCACACTTTGTTCAGCACGCTTTCTAACTTCTCCACTTTTGCCGCCGGTTTAGTTTTGAATGGGAATTCGTAGGTTAAGCTACAGTGGAGCTAGCAATCTGATTTTAATTCTGTAGCCCCACCAGTGACACAACAAAACTGAGAGAGGAGAACTGTCCTTTCCACTGTTCAAGAAAGGCATCAAAAAAGTTCATACAAGTGAAAACACAAAAAGCCACAGGGAAACAAACTCAACCAGCAAGCGCAAAATTCTGAACGCGGGACGAACTTTAATCCAAAAGAAATCAAAATCGACTAAGAGACGGCAAATCGCATTAAAAAACCGAAAATTGAGTCAGATGGGCAGCATTTTACGTAGGTAAGCAGTGAGTCGAGATCAGGGAGCGGTGAGCAAAGAAAACGTCACGACTGAAATGTGTGCTTATCTCGCTTTCTGGATGTCGTGTCACACGGGAGATTTAAACACTGAAATACTGAAGTTTTTGCTTTCTTATTTTTAAAGTTGATATATAAAATGAACGATAGTTTCAGATTACCGAGTTTACTATGGTATGCTATTTACCTATACTGGACTTGTAGTTTCACAGTTTCAGAGCTAAGAAAATTGTAAATATGAAATCCTCGGAACTAATTCATCCAAACAAATGAAGAAAATTTTGCTTAAAATCAGGTACCTGACCACAGTGCTTTAAAATTAAAAAATTAGATCAAATATTAGCCTTTGACCACAAGTTTAAATTCAGTTCAGTTTTACTTAGCAAATGAGGGAGTTACAATTGCAGGTTATAAGACATTAACTATCCGAACAACCCAAAGTTAGTAAGCTGAAATTTGGTCTCTGTTTCAGTCAGTCTTGATGCTTGAGTAATTTTATAACCCGTGAGAGAAGAAAAGTTCGAAATGGATATTCCGGAAAAAATTTCCAAATCCGTGGAAGCCTTTTAAATCTATTCCAGATTAATTGGAAATCTGCTAAATGCAGGGCAAGCTGGAAACTCGGAAATTTTAGGTTCAAAATCGCTCAGGAAAGGCGGACTGGGCGAGACGAAACTAATTTTCGAGCACCGTTTCCGAATTTATGACATCATCCCCATTTTCACGCTAGTTTAACAAACCTAGGATGAAGAAAGCTAGTTATTTGAAATTTCGGGATCAATCTGCAGTGTACTAAATCTAAACCTGATCAACACATGCCTGGATCATTACAACTTTCTTCGAACTGGGACTACAATTTTAGTTCTATTTGGGAAAAAGTGGTAGGTTAGAAGAATTTGAAATTAGATAACTAGTTCTAAGTCATTCATTGCACATCAGCGGGCAAACTCAGATTCCGAAATTTCGATCTTACATTGCACAGTGCTCTGAAACTATTGAATCGGTCCGGATCGAGTTGAGTTACAGAAAATGTTTGTATGTTAATTTGGACTAATTACTTCCCTTTATTTGGTCAGTCAAACTTCCAAAATCTTGACTTAGCTTCTTCCCTCAAATTTTGATATTAGCCTGAATCTGGAATTGAGTTCGCAGGCGCAGTACAAAGCTGAAGGTCTGAGTTAAGGATTAATCCAACGTGTACTACTACAAGTCATGTCTCCAAAGCTTCAGCTTTCTTTGGTAATTCTTCAGCTGAATGACCGGTCAAGAGAATCATATAAACACAACTTGTTCTTGCCAATAATGTTTCATACAGTAAATTGTCAGTGGATAAAAGTGCATCAGAGATGTTGGTAAAAGCGATAAGATCGACTACCTGATTATTTCCCCTTTTAAGAGGAAAATCACTGTCAAAGCGACCCAGTAGTTCCGGTGAGCGTTTTCCGAAGTGCATAAATTCTCTTGCTAGGCCATGCATTTCGCCATCAACTGCAAATTCTTAAAAAATATATGACTCGCCGAAATATGATTTGAATGAAAAAAAGCCCGGCTAGGGAGATACCAGAATTGCCCCTGCAATCAAGCATTTTTGCTCGAATTTGAAGCAGTCAGATCGTTAATAGCATGAGTAGTTGCCGTTTTCCAGTTTAACATGCTTGTTCACACATGGACAGAGAAATTCCCTGCAGAATTTCAGTTTGCTACGTTGACTGATTCTCGAAATCGCTCCTTGCCAAAAAATTTACATATTTTCTTTTCGGCGTTCATAGTTGATACCCAAACGTGCGCGAACGATAATTTCAAAACAAGAGAATTGCACTTGAGGTGAAAACATTCTTCAAAAGTTTTAGTCTCCAAGTTTCTCAAGTTTTAGAATTGAAGAAAGGTGACAAAATTCACTCGCATACACATACACACACGTACACCCACATACATAAATACACACAGACACACGCTGACTACCTCATTACAATGTGCATTTCTGGGCATGTACCAACGCTACAGCACTGATGGCAAAACGAGTACAAAAACCTAGTAGAAAGCGTACCGGCTGCCGGTACGAGGATGCGTTTTTTGCGCAGTTCCCCCC